GTAAAGCGGAGGAAGAGAAAATGACATGAGGCATTTCGGGAAGTAAAATGAATTGCGCTTTTAGACCTGAAATGGAGGGAGGGGGGAAACATGGCCGATTGTACAAATCTTCCTTGAGGCAAAGTTATAGGAACATAGGCAGAGCCCTGCTGGATCAGACCAGTGAGAGTCCATCCAGTCCAGCATCCTGTCTCACACAGGGGCCAACCAGTTCCTCTGGAGGGCCTACAGCAGGGCAGAGAGGCCGATGCCTTCCCCTGGTAAGAACGTCAGAAGAGCCCTGCTGGGTCAGACCAGTGAGGGTCCCTCTAGCCCAGCATCCTGTCTCACACAGTGGTCAACCAGTTCCTCTGGAGGGCCTACATCAAGGCAGAGAGGCCGAGGCCTTCCCCTGAGAAGAACGTCAGAAGAGCCCTGCTGGATCAGACCAGTGAAGGTCCATCTAGTCCAGCATCCTGTCTCACACAGGGGCCAACCAGTTCTTCTGGACGGCCAACAACAGGGCAGGGAGGCCGAGGCCTTCATAAGAACATCAGAAGAGCCCTGCTGGATCAGACTAGTGGCCCATCTAGTCCAGCATCCTGTCTCACACAGTGGCCAACTAGTTCCTCTGGAGGGCCAACAACAGGGCAGAGAGGCTGAGGCCTTCATAAGAACATCAGACGAGCTCTGCTGGATCAGACCAGGGAAGGTCCATCCAGTCCAGCATCCTGTCTCACAGAGAGTCCAACCAGTTACGCTGGAGGGCCAACAACAGGGTATAGAGGCTGAGGCCTTCCACTGATGTTGCCTCCTGGCACTGGGATTCAGAGGATTAGTGCCTCTGAATGTGGAGGTTCCCAAATTCTTTGTCTGGGTAGCTTAGTAAGGTTGAGCCTGGGGCCTTCCCGTGTTGGACGTACGTTCTGAACCACGGTCCCTCCTCATGGTCATTGCCATGTGGGTCGATGGGTCATCTCCGCCTTCCTGCCAGTTTCTTTTGTATGGTGGTGCTCAGAACAAGAGCTGCCTTTGCGTTGCTGGGTTATGCCCTTCAAATAACTCAGAACCAATGTTCCCCCTAAGCCGTGAAGTCTTGTGAGCAAAAATCCCACTTTGTGAGCGACTGGCATTAAAGCTGTGAGCCAGCAATTTGGCCACTGCATAAATCAGTTTGCTCTGGAGCCCTCCTTCCCGAGCGAAGACAAAAATGTGTGCGCCGGAGGCTAAAAAACTGTGAGCTAGCTCACAACAACTCAGCTTAGAGGGAACACTGCTCAGAACCAGTGCCATTTATTTATTCTTGGTGAGTTGTACTCAGTGGTGGTGGTGGAGACGAAAGGCTGAGGGGCGCAGAATGGAGGGCAGGATCGGTCCCACCCCAGCACAGCCTGCTTGGTCAGAAGACGCAGCCAAGGCTGTCCAGGAAACCTCAGAGCTTGCCAGGAAAGGGAAAGCGGTGTGAGGTTTGGGGTGACTGTCTAGCGGGGTCTCTGTGTCACTCTCTGGGGAGTCATCGTTGGCCTGGGTTTGACAGGGATCGTCTTTTGCCAAGTGGGTTGTTTCTGCTAAAGGGGGGAGGGGCTAGGTGCATTCTGGGCTCCTGTATATCAGAAAGGCGGTCTTGAATTTTGCAGCTTGGTATCGGGTGTGAATTTTGCAGATTTATCTAATTTGGGCCCCGGTCACACGGGCCAGATAACGTGGGGGGGAGGCGTGGCTGTCCGCCCCGGAGCAAAATAAAGCGCAGTAGTGCGATCACACAGTCCCCCCAAGTCTCCGTGCTTCAGCTGTTAGCTGGCGATCACACGGCGATGCTGCAGCGTGGCAAAGAAGTGGCGCGGCGCAATCACACAAGCGTTTTGTGTGTGTGCGCATGCACAGTTCCACGGAGCAGCACTGCTTTCAGTTTTGTGTTTGTGCGCATGCGTTTACGAAAAACATCCGGTTTGTGATGGGATGTGGGCGGGCGCCGGATGCCACGGGATACTAGCGCTCCCGCAATCAGACGCCCGCCTGTGTCGCGCGTTTTCCGAATACTAGTGCACTTTCCTTGGTACTTTTTAACTCCGCATCTTCGGCGGGACGCCACGGGTTGGCCACGGGTGCGCCACGCTTCCCAGATGCTGCGATGTGATCGCGGCCCGAAAATCCGCCTGCCATTCGTGCCTTTCGCGCGGCAAATTCTCCGTGTGACCGGGGCCATTAAAAAGTTTATTTGTGGTCTGGAGTTATTTTCGAACCTGTCTGTAATGAAGTAAAGTTTTTCGAGATTATCGGGGGGGGGGGGGCTCTATCCCTCTCTCTTGCTGTCAAGTTACGGCCAACCTGCGGTGACCCCTCATGGGATTTTCAAGGCATGATGAGACGTTCAGAGCTGGTTTCCCCATTGCTTGCCTTCATGTCCCAGCCCTGATATTCCATGGTGGTCCCCCTTTGGAATACTGTTCGGGGCTGACCCTGCTTAGCGTCCAAGATCTGATGAGATTGGGCTAGCATGGGCCATGGGGCAGAGGGGTTTTTTTGTGTGTGTGTGTGTGGGGGGAATCACTGGAGTATCATCATCATCAAGTTTATTGTATTAGCCATTGGCCATAACAAAGCATAAATACAAACACAATCCTTATACATCACATTAAGTTATCCCTTCACTAACTTGCGCTGAATCCTAGCCTTAATCTTATCTTTTTTGCCGCCAAAGCAAACAGGGACATTCTGCTGGTAACATATACGTCCATATCAGAGAGCAAAAAAACAACCGACTCCTGTTTTGAGAATCCATTGTGCAAAGGTAAAATAGGGTATATAAATCTCTGCCTAAGTGATTCGTGCCATGAGCATCTCAGTAAATAGTGCTCAATATCATCCACTTCGCCCAAACCACATTGGCAGATTCTTAAGGCAAGAGGTAAACCCATAAAACGACCAACACAGACCATTGAAGGAATGGCATGGAATCTGAGGGCTGTAAATGCCCTTCTTAGGTCAAGATTGGTTAATTTCTCTAAATAGCCAGTCCTACAGTGATCTCTTTTAAAGATCTTAAACAGAGGGGCCGTTCGGCAACTTGCCGCTGCATGAAGGTTCAAAAGGCCATCCTTATGAAATACACTGGGGTATATTTAAACCCCAAATATAATAATGTATGTACCCAAAGGTCAAAATCAGTGTATTTCTAGGTTTGTTTTTGTACCCCAGGTATGGGGGTCTTCATTGGCAAATGAGAAAGCCCGCTGGGCAAAAGCCTCAACCGGCCCCACCCGTTTCCTGAAATTATTTGTTGGGCGCCATGTTGGGGACACACGGATGGATGGGGCCAGACGGAACTGGGGATTCTGTTGGCAGGGGCCAGGGCTCCCTCTAAGCTGTGGAGTCTTGTGAGCAAAAATGCCACTTTGTTTTATTTTTATTTATTTTACTTATTTAAATTTGTAACCCGCCCTCCCCGCGAACGGGCTCAGGGCGGCGTACAGATGGGGCCAATGCCCAATCCATAAAGCATTAAAACTGCATTTTAAAAACATTCAGTGCAACGTAAGTCCTCTCCACAACAACTAACGAGGGAACCGGTGACGTCACCAGGATGGTATCCTTAGTGGCCGCAGCTCCACGCAGTACCACCATTTTTGCACTCACGGCGAGTTGGTAATAAGGGCTAGGACGGATGGTAACAGTCGTGGCGGCTCCTACTCAAACGCCTGGCGGAAGAGCTCCGTCTTGCAGGCCCTGCGGAACTGTGGGAGCTCATTCCACCAGGTAGGAGCCGCCACCAAAAAAGCCCTAGCCCTAGTCACCGCTAGTCTGGCCTCTTTGGGACCTGGAACCACCAGGAGATGTTTAGTCCCGGACCGTAGTGCTCGTTGGGGAACATATGGGGAGAGGCGGTCCCGTAGGTATGTCGGACCCTGGCCATCTAGGCATTGAGCTACTGGCATTGAAGTTGTGAGCGAGCGATTTGGCTCCTGCATAAATTACTTTGCTCTGGAGCCCTCCTTCCTGAGCGAAGACAAAAATGAGTGTGAACTGGAGGCTAAAAAACTGTGAGCTAGCTCACACTAACTCAGCTTAGAGGGAACACTGCAGGGAACCGTTGGGGCATGTCGGGTATGATTTGGAGCACACAGACAGGGACATGGAGAGAAGCAACGGTAGTATATGGAGGAGGGGGAAATGACTCTCACAAGGCCCAACTTTCCCCGTGACAGGAAACCTTTCTCGTGTCCAGAATACAAGAATAGTTTGTGCAGAAAGGGTGTGTGTGTGTATGCCAGGCACAACTTTGCACACAAAGGGGCCACAGGAAGAAGAAGATAATATATTGGATTTATACCCCGCCCTTCACTACCCGAAGGTGTCTCAGAGCAGCTTACAGTCTCCTTTCCCTCCCCCTCCCCACAACAGACACCCTGTGAGGTAGGTGGGGCTGAGAGAGCTCTCTCGAGGACTGCCTGTGAGAGAACAGCTCTGTGAGAACTTGTGACTGACCCAAGGTCACACCAGCAGCTGCATGTGGAGGAGCGGGGAATCAAACCCAGTTCTTCTAACCACTACACCAACCTGGGGAGGGGAGGGGTGAGAAGGCCCTGGCATCGCCAGTGCTGAAGAGAATGCTACCGGAATAGCTGTGCTCATCTCCACGATGCCAGGTAGCATGCCTAGGGTGAAGGGAGACTTTAAATTAGTTGAGCAGTGAGCCGTTTCCTCAGCGGTAATATGTTTTTTTTACAGCCTCCCTTGTTGCGGGCTCGATTTTGGACACCCGGTCGTATCTAAAACACCGTGCTCTGAAGAACGTTCGTTCCTGCTCCGCCTTCCCCCCCCCCCATCGCCTTTTAGTCACAGTTGGCAGCTGAAGGTTTAATGGGGTACTTGAATCGCTATAAAATGATGCTGAGATTGGCCCTGGGCACGGAGCCACGCGGTTCATAGCCCGTGCTGATAAACCTCTTTACGGCGGCAGGAAACCTTTTCAGTTGGAACGGTCACAAATCATTTGGAGCACCTACGGAGGGTGGCCGCGGATGCGTTGTCGCCATCAAGGAGTCCGCGAGTGCCAGCGAGTGGTGACGGAGTGTCCCTCGAGGGCCCTCCCAGATAAAGGCCGGGCTCTTGAAAGAAACACTCTCAACGGCGGGGACTGTGGCTAGCCAGATCTCAGGATTCATGTTCAACTTGGACCGCTTAGACCAGACGTGGCTAACATACGGTGGGGGGGCTGGAACTGGGCCGTCCAGGGCTTTTATCTGGCCCACAAACAACTGGGGGGAACCAAATATGGACCGGAAGGGCCTATGTTAGAGTATTATACCCCCTGCTGAGGTCCCAGACAGCCAGTTCAGTATAGTGGTTAAGACTCTAATCTGGGAAAACTGGGTTTGATTCCCCACTCCTCCACCTGCAGCTGCTGGCGTGACCTTGGGTCAGTCACAAGTTCTCACAGAGCTGTTCTCTCACAGGCAGTCCTTGAGAGAGCTCTCTCAGCCCCACCTACCTCACAGGGTGTCTGTTGTGGGGAGGGGGAGGGAAAGGAGACTGGAAGCCGCTCTGAGACTCCGAGTGAAGGGCAGGGTATAAATCCAATATCCTCCTCCTTTCCTTGAATTCAGGGCCTCCCCAGGGTTTTCCCCCAGACCCCCAGGGATGGCCCTACCCAGCGTTGGCAACCATAAGGGGTGAAGAGGGCTATGGGTCACAGTCAGTGGTAAAATATTTCCAGTACTTGGCATTACATTTTATGGCCCGGCCTTACAAAGCAACATTTACTCAGATCCGGCCCTTGTACCTAATGAGTTCAAGACCTCTGACTTAGCCCTTGGAAAAGGCTCTTGGAGAGACGAAGAGGAGACTGGATTTATACCCCGCCCTTCACTACCCAGGAGCTGCGGTAGCTCAAGTGGTTAAGACGCTGAACTGCAGGCTGTGGAAGGTCGGTAGTTCAGCAGTTCGAGACCCGAGTGTGCCGCATGACGGAGCGAGCTCCCGTCTCTAGTTCCAGCTCCTGCCAACCTAGCAGTTCGAAAGCAATAAACTGCAAGTAGATAAATAGGTACCACTTCGGTGGGAAGGTAACAGCGTTCCGTGCACCTCAGTGTTTAGTCATGCCAGCCACATGACCACGGAAACGTCTTCGGACAGCGCTGGCTCTTCGGCTTTGAAACGGAGATGAGCACCGCAACCCTAGAGTCGGATTCGACTGGCTTTCGAGCAAGGGAAACCTTTACCTTTACTCACTACCCAAAGGAGGCTCAGAGCGGCCTACAGTCGCCTTCCCTTCCTCTCCCCACAACAGACACCCTGTGAGGTAGGTGGGGCTGAGAGAGCTCTCCCGAGAACTGCCCTTGAGAGAACAGCTCTGAGAGAACTTGTGACTGACCCAAGGTCACCCGCCGCTGCTTGTGGAGGAGGAGTGGGGGATCAAACCCCGTTCTCCCAGATTAGAGCCTGCGCTCATAACCACTACACCAAACTGGCTCTCCGACCAGAAGCACATCTGGTCGCCTGTGGCAAACAGGAATAGGTGACGCAACAGGAAGTGTTTCTACACTGGGAAGAGGTTTGGTTCTTGTAGGCCATCTGCATGCCACAAATGACCAGCATACAAGAAGATTCAGCTAGGTCGGTAGTTCAGCAGTTCGAGACCTGAGTGTGCCGCATGACGGAGTGAGCTCCCATCTCCTGCCAACCTAGTAGTTCGAAAGCAAGAAATTGCAAGTAGATAAATAGGTACCACTTCGGTGGGAAGGGAACAGCGTTCCCTGGGCCTCGGTGCTTAGTCATGCCGGCCACGTGACCACGGAAACGTCTTCGGACAGCGCTGGCTCTTCGGCTTGGAAACGAAGATGAGCACCGCGACCCTAGAGTCGGATTCGACTGGCTTTCGAGCAAGGGAAACCTTTACCTTTACCAATGTTCAGGGATGCCTGTCAAACCGCCTTTGACTCCTTTACCTAAGGAGGGGTTGAGGCTCAGTGATAGGGTGCGTGGTTTACATGAAGGTGATGCCAGGCTGCATCCCTGGCATCGCTGTGTGCAGGATCTGAGTTGGGTCACGGGTTTGGGGCAAGACCATTCTTTTGTTCATTTATACCCTGGTGTGAGATAGTGGTTCGAATGTCAGCGTAGGAGCTGGGTTCTAATCCCTCACTTAGCCACGGAAGCCACCAGGTGACTGTGGGCCCATCGTAACCTCTCAGCCTAGCCTACCTCACAGGGTTGTTAGGAATGAGTGGAGGAGGGGGCATTGATGTGAAAAGCCGCTTTGAGTAGAAGAAGAAGAAGAAGAAGAGAAGAGATTGGATTTATACCCCGCCCTTCACTACCCGAAGGAGTCTCAGAGCAGCTTACAAACTCCTTTCCCTTCCCCTCCCCACAGCAGACACCCTGGGAGGTGGGGGGGGCTGAGAGAGCTCTTGACAGAAACGGCGCTTTTTCAAGGACAGCTCTTATCAGAACTACGGCTTGCCCAAGGTCATCCAGGCAGGGGCAAGTGGAGGAGTGGGGAATCAAGCCCGGTTCTCCCAGATTAGAGTCCGTGCACTTAACCACTACACCAAACTGTACTCTGTCAGAGAGAAAAACATGCTATAAATAGAAATAAGCCATTCTCTGCCTGAGACCGGTCATGGTTTACAATGCTGAACTATCTAGTAATCGAACTTCCTATTTTTTTTAAAATTGCTGTTTGAAACCATGCATGTAGAACCCTTTCTAGCTGCCCTGTGAGAGGACTCGATGGTCACGTATTCTTTCTTCTATCTTCCAGCTCCGAGCTGGCAAAAAGTTCCGTTTACCCTGCTGCAAGCTGAGGTCTTGCAGAGGTTTTGGAGGGGAGGAGATTTCTTGCAAAGAGTCTCCTGCTCAGAGAACTGGCTTGGTCTTCTCGCTCAGAGTCCGCGGTTTGATCCCTTTAACTGGCCTGTCTGTTTTCGCCGCAGGGAACCCATCTCAGGGACTCTCTCTGGTGCTGAGCTGTGGCACCAGCCCCGGAAAAGTGATGCTGCAGCCGAATCAGACCCTCCTCCTGGACTGCAACCCGGCTCCCGTAGAGCAGCTCCTCGACATCACCTGGATGAAGAACGGGCTTCGGGTGGCAGAAGAGGAGAACCTCCGAGTCCTCCCCGATGGATCTCTGCTCATATCAGCAGCCCGGGTGGCTTCAGAGGCGGGTGGCTCCCTCGGAGGGTCTGGCCTGGAGGGGAATTACTCCTGCGTCTCCCGTAGATCCCTGGGCTCCGTCGCGAGCCAAACGGTTCTGCTTCGTGACTCGAGTGAGTATTTAGCTTGGTTTCCCCTCCATAGGTTGGATTCAGAGGGCTTAAAACTCTGCTTTCTCCTAGCAAAAAGGAAAGGGGAGACTCATAGAATCCTAGAGTTGGAAGGGACCTCCAGGTTCATCTAGTCCAACCCCCTTCACAATGCAGGGAATTCACAAATAGCTCCCTCGCCACACCCCCAGTGACCGCTGTTCTGCTCCCAGAAGATGACAAAAAGCCTCCAGGATCCTCAGACAGACCGGCCTGGAGAAAAATTGCTTCCTGACCCCAATGTGGCGATCAGCATTTCCCTGGGTGTGTCAGAAAGGGCCACGAGAACTAAGCACTGAGGCAACCCTTCCTGCCCTCCCTTCCCATGATCTGCTAAATTCACAGAATCCGCATTGCTGTCAGATGGCCATCGAGCCTCTGCTTGAAAACCTCAAAACTGAACACAATACTCTAGGTGAGGACCAGTGTCCCCTCTAAGCTGTGGAGTCTTGTGAGCAAAAACTCTACTTTGCGAGCTACTGGCGTTAAAGTTGTGAGCGAGCGATTTGGTTGCTGCATAAATTGGTTTGCTCTGGAGCCCTCCTTCCGGAGCGGAGACAAAAATGTGTGAGCCAGAGGCTAAAAAACCGTGAGCTAGCTCACAGTAACTCCGCTTAGAGGGAACACTGACTGGGGACTAACCAGAGTAAAGCGATACCATCACTTTGCATGATCTGGACATTGTACTTCTCTTGATACAGCCCAAAATGGCATGTGCTTTTTTAGCGACCGCATCACACTGCTGACTCATGTTCAGTGTATGGTCTACTAAGACCCCTATATCCTTATCGCACATACTACTACCAAGACAAGTCTCCCCCATCCTATAATTACCTAAATGCAGAACTTTACATGTATCCCCATGGAGATTCATTTTATTTGTTTGAGCCCAGTTTTCCAGCCTGTCAAGAGAGGGAAACAAGTTTCTAGTCCTTAAGCCTTAAGTGTGGGCTTCTCTCTCTCTGTGTGTGTGTGTATGAGCTTGATGCTGGTTCAGAATCTGAAAGGAGGGGATGCGAAGTGGGACAGCGGAGAAAGGGGTGTTCACTTCTCCGCTTCGCTCTTTCTCCGTAACTTGTAGTAAAAGAATAAAAGTTGGGAGCATAAGTGGATAGGTGCAAATTCGCCTAATTTAAGCAGGGTTACAGACTTTAAAGGAGCTCCGGTGGCTCAAGTGGTTAAGACGCTGAACTGCAGGCTGTGGAAGGTCGGTAGTTCAGCAGTTCGAGACCCGGGTGCCGCATGACGGAGTGAGCTCCCGTCTCTAGTTCCAGCTCCTGCCAACCGAGCAGTTCGAAAGCAAGAAACTGCAAGTAGATAAATAGGTACCACTTCGGTGGGAAGGTCACAGCGTTCCATGCGCCTTGGTGTATAGTCATACCGGCCACATGACCACGGAAACGTCTTCGGACAGCGCTGGCTCTTCGGCTTTGAAACGGAGATGAGCACCGCAACCCTAGAGTCGGATTCGACTGGCTTTCGAGCAAGGGAAACCTTTACCTTTTTACAGGCTTTAAAAAACAAAACGCTGACTGTATTCACATCCCAAAAAGAATATTTGAGACTCCAGAATGAAAAAGAGGAGCGCCACGACTCCTCATGAGAAAACAGATAAAATATAAATAAATGCAATGGCTGCAGTTGGAAAAATTGGCAGCCTTAAGCACATGCCAGTGTTTTCAGTATTAGAAAAGATATTTAACTTCATCTGTGCCCTGCCTTTCTCCCCAATAGGGACCTAAGGTGAGTTACATTGTCCTCCATTTTATCCTCACAACAACCCTGAGGTGGGTGACACTGAGAGCGTGTGACTGGCCCAAGGTCACCCAGCAGGCTTTCGTGGCAGTGAGGATTTGAACATGGGTCTCCCAGATCCTAGTCTGATGCTCTTAACCACCACTCCGGCTCTAATAAAAATAGTAACAGGAGCCGTAACAGGAGGAAACGGTAGTATCCAAGGATGGACTCTCTGGAATTACATTCCCGCTGAGCCCCCTCCCCCTCCCCAAACTCTGCACTGCCCCCAAATCTCTAAGAATTTCCTGAGCTGGAGTTGGCAACCCAGTTCAAATCCAGGCTGGGGTGGCCCTGTGGTGAAAGTCGAGAGATTCACCCAACATTATTTCTTTAGATATTTACGTCCCATTTTCTCCCTTCGGGGGTGGTGGTGGAGAGCAGCTTACAGTAAAGTTTTCCGTTCACAACAACCACCCTGCGAGGAAGGTTAGGCTGAGAGAATGTGACTAGGTCAGGGTCATCCAGCAAGTTTCCATACTACTAGAGTGGGGAATTCGAACCCAAGTCTCCCAGAATTCCAAGTCCAGTGCTCTTTCTGTTATGCCACACCAATACGCCGTGCAACTGCTTTGGCATGAAAGGGGCCCAGGTGTGTGTAGTGGCAATTGGGTTGTTCTGGGCTGTAAACACCAGGGGTGCTGGTTGGATTATGTGTCACGCTTTGTTGGGAAGGTCGAGGCGTGGGAGACAGATGTGCAAGGGCGCTTCCACACATACTAAACAATGCACTTTCCATCCACTTTGCAACTGGATTTGACTGTGTACAATGGCAAAACCCATGTGCAAATGGTCGCTGAAGTGGATTGAAACAACATTATTTAGCAGCGCCCACAGAGTGAATGTCATTGATTACTAGAATGCAGGGGTCATTTCGTAGAAAAAGAGGCGCGGGAGCTCATTAGCATAAATCATTAGCACAACTCATTTGCATATGCCACACCCCCTGGTATCACCGGAAGTGTGTCAGAAGGCAACACCCACCGCTCAGGCTCCACTGGACTGTTTTGGATTGCTAGCTATGGGGGGGGGGAAAGGTGCAGATCTGTCCTCACAGAGGAGGGAGAGCTTGTACCTGAATAAAACTTGGTCTTAAAGGTGCCACGGGACTGTTTTGGACCGGGGGAGCGTGGGGGGGGCTCTGCAACTTCCCTGGCTGCTTCTTGCTCTGACTGAGGGCTGCTGGGAGCAGGGGGTGGGGCTTGTCACATGTGCCCGCCCCCTGGGCTCATTACTGCCGGAGCTCCGCTCCTGTGCGCTCCTGCAGGAAATGACCCCTGCTAGAACGGATAGCCTGACCCCTTCCCCTGAGGAAGAACCGGAGACTCACTGGTTCTCCCCTTCCCCCTCCAACTGGTTGGTCAACCAGTAGGCCACAGTCCTGGGCCTGAGGAGTGGAGTGGCCTGTAGGCCTCAGGCCTTGCAGCCTGTTTTCCCACATTTTCCTGCTGACCTACATTTCCCAGGCACCCTCCAAGCCTCAGGATTGGAGCAGGGGAAATGTAGGGGGGAATGTGAGCCAATCACTGTTGAGGAGGCGGAGCTGAGAGAAGGAGAGAGAGTGTATAAGTCCCCGCAAAGAGAAGGGACGTTATTCCCTCCCTGAAGCTGGGCAGTAGAGAGGCTGTTTTTGAAGGGAGCGGATCCTCACCCCATGCTGACTTGAATTGGGGGGGGGGTCAAATACGGAGATAGTAGTTAGTCCAATTAGGGTTACCAGCCAGTGGCTGTGGGGAATTGGGGTGGGGGGTGGGGAGGGGGTGGCAGGACTGAATGGGGAAAAAATATTTTTAAATTTTAATTTATTTATTAGTCACATTTCTAACCCGCCCTCCCCGCAATGCAGGCTCAGGGCGGCTCACAGTCAGTACATAAAATACATTTAAAACCACATAAAACAATTCCATTATTAATACAGTTTCATAAAGTGCTGAAGATGGTTACTCAAGATGGCTTATTTCAGTGGACTCTCTAAAAATCCTTCTGCACAAGATCTTCCTGCGGCTCAGGCTGGATGTTCAAACCAAGAGCCAGGGCTCTATAATGGTGGCAGCCAGGGGTCATTTCCTGCAGGAGCGCACAGGAGCGGAGCTCCGGCAGTAAAGAGCCCAGGGGGCGGGCACATGCAAAAAAAAAAGTTTTATTCAGGTACAAGCTCTCCCTCCTCTGCGAGGACAGATCTGCACGTTCCCCCCCCCCCCATAGCTAGCAAACCAAAATAGTTCAGTGGAGCCTGAGCGGTGGGTGTTGCCTTCTGACACACTTCCGGTGATGTCAGGGGGTGTGGCATATGCAAATGAGTTATGCTAATGAGCTCCTGCTTAGCTTCCGAGATCTGATGAGACCAGGCCAGCCTTACTGGTCATGTAAACGGATGGTTGAACTTCCCGTTGTAAACACCTGCTGATTTGTCTGTTTTGGGCCCTGTTTCACGATGCTGGCTGCCTTGGCTGTGCTATAGTGTTCTTGCCTCATTCTTGAGGGTTTTGTGACGAAGCTGCCCGGAAGAATACGTTTCGAAACAAGCCCTCGGCGGCTCCCCTGTACAAAACATGAGGAGTTCTGCTGAAACGATGCGGGCTCTACATCCGAGGAAGAAATGCCCAGGAACTCAATTTTCTTTTCTCTCTCCCCCCGCCCCCCACCTTTCGACCTATCCCTTTTTGCCTCCCATTTCCCCAGCGTTGTCTCCATTTTCCCAACATCCAGAGTCCCAGACGGTGGAAGAGAACGGCGTGGCCCGTTTTGAGTGTCGGATCGAAGGGCTGCCCACTCCGGAGATCGCCTGGGAGAAGGATCGCACGCCGGTTCCTTTGGAACCCAGGTATGTTGGTTGCACTTGGGCGACGGATCCGATCAGAGTCTCTTGGCCTCGTCTACCTCACAGGGTCGTTATGAGGGTCAAATGGAGAAGGGGAGAGGCAGGGACGTGGCCATCTTGCGCTGCTGGGAGGAAGCGTGGGATCAAAATGCGCTAGGCAGAGAGGTCTGTTTTATTTATGATTTGCTTTAAAACCTTCATACCCTGCGCCCTCAAGCAAGTTTAGTTCATGAGGCGGTTTCCAGTAAAATATATATATTTTTAAAGTTAGCAGCTGTAAAATGTAAAATAAAATAATTGCTTTAACTCAGTATGGGAACACCAGCCTCCTGTATCTCTGCAACTCTCCTTCCTGGTCTTTTCCACTCTCAGATGCTTTTCCCCACTGGTGTCTTTGTGTCCTGGGGACCACGGCTTCTTCCTGTTCTTCTGGCTTGAGATCACCAGTTTGGTGTAGTGGTTAGGAACGTGGACTCTAATCTGGGAGAACTGGGTTTGATTCCCCGCTTCTCTACATGAAGCTGCTGGGAGAACTTGGGTCAGTCACAAGTTCTGTCAGAGCTGTTCTCTCAAGGGCAGTCCTCTAAAGAGCTCTCTCAGCCCCACCTACCCCACAGGGTGTCTGTTTTGGGGAGAGGAAGGGAAGGAGATTGTAAGCCGCTCTGAGACTCTTGAGTGAAAGGCAGGGTATAAACCTAATTTCTTCTTCTTCTTAGCTCTGCCCCCCCCCAAGCCACTTGGAACCTTTTAACTCCCCCCCCCCAATCTTCCTCATTCCCTGCTGTTTCTTCCTGAGGCCCTTCTGGTGGCCTCTGCAGGGTCCGAGCACCTCAGCCAATGGCAGCCAAGGGCGCTTCTGTGACAAGGGTAGCTCAGCCAATCATTTTCACAGGCTTGATCACTGCCACGGAATCCCTACAGACACTTATTACAGCTGTGGGAGACCTGGGATCAGAAGTATGTGTGTTGGGAGAGGCTTGAAGTCTAGAGACCCCTGGGAAATCTGGATGCAGTGAATTTGGGGAGTGTTTGTGTATATGTTGTGAATTGGGGGAGTGTGCGTGTGTTACCACATCTCTCTCAGGAGCCGTCGCCTTGGTTTAGCACTGAGATTGTCTTGGGGGCGGAACCGTACTGCCTGCGTCAGCTTGGAGTGCAAACGGGCCGTCAGGGTTGGGTCCCGATGGGAAGGCTAGTTGCTAGCTAAAGGCAGCTGGTGAGAAAGTGGTAGTTCCTTCTGTCTGTGCTTGGGAGGAGAAGAAGCGTAGTGTTTGGAAAGTGGAGGGGCAGCTGCGGAAACATGTCCCAGGAAAGGGCACTCGCCTGCTAATTCGCCACCGTCCCTGATCTTGCGAAATCCGCAGCTTGGCAGTTGTTTTCTGTGTAACAAGCGAGTCCTAATCCTCGCCTCTGTCCGTTTCGGGGAAGGGTTTTGCTCGGATCTCTGTGTTCCCAAATGTTCTCGACCTGTTCTGTCTGGGAAGGAATTAAGGGGACCGGACGAGACAGGTGGGAGGGACGTGGCAAAAAGTGTAAATGTTACACATTACTTAGGGAGTTCGAGTGAAAAAGGACCAAGTATTGGATCTCGGGTCATGTTGTAAAACTGCCTGGCAAAAGGGAGGACTTCATCTATTCCAGTGACGGCGAACCTTTTAGAGACCGAGTGCCCAAACTGCGACCCAAAACCCACTTATTTATCGCAAATTGCCAACATGGCAATTTAACTAGAATACTGAGGTTTTACTTTAGAAAAAACAACTCATACGTTAACTTAAGATGATCCAAACAAAGTAAGGAAAGCAATCCCAAATGCTTTCATTTACTGAAAATTATTTGGCAGAGAATTCGACACTTTAATGATGGTCTGGGCCTGGCTGGGGCGATGGCACGCGTGCCCACAGAGAGGGCTCTGAGTGCCACCTCTGGAACCCGTGCCAGAGGTTTGCCGGGGGGGGGGTGGAACTCTGAGATGTTACAGGCGTCTGTAATTTCTCATGTTTTGCATTCTTGGCGGTTTTATTCCCCTCTGTTTTATCCGTGTAGAACTTGCAGTGGCCCAGATCTCGGAAGCTAAGTAGGGTTGACTCTGGTCAGTACTTGGATGGGAGACCACCAAGAAAGACTACGCAGAGGCAGGCGGTGGCAAACCACCTTAAAAAAAAAAATTAATTGCTTTTCTAACTATACACCTATACGGTTTGGGGATGGGAACAAACTAAAACTACGAGTAGCAAGAGATTGTTAATACAATTGTTTAAAGCAGGGGTCACTTCCTGCAGGAGTGCACAGGAGTGGAGCTCCAGCAGTAAAGAGCCCAGGGGGCGGGCACATGCAACAAGCCCCACCCCCTGCTCCCAGCAGCCCTCAGTCAGAGCTAGAAGCAGCCAGGTAAGTTGCAGAGCCCCCCGCTGGCCTCCCAGTCCAAAACAGTCCAGTGGCACCTTTAAGACCAAGTATTATTCAGGCACAAGCTCTCCCTCCTCTGTGAGGGCAGATCTGTACGCCCCACCTCCCCAAATAGCTAGCAATCCAAGACAGTCCAGTGGAGCTTGAGCGGTGGGTGTTGCCTTCTGACACACTTCCGGTGATGTCAGGGGGTGTGGCACATGCAAATGAGTTATGCTAATGAGTTATGCTGATGAGCTCCTGCACCTCTTTTTCTACGAAATGACCCCTGGTTTAAAGTAAGGATAATTCCTTATTGTCAAAGTAGTAATGCATGAGAGTTAATACAATAGTTATATAGACGTTTGAGCGAGTGTTCACAAACAAATTTGGTTAGAGTGTATGCTTCTTAGTTTAGGGTTATTAGTTCCTGATAATTATCAGACCATTAGAGTTTCATTATTTTATTTATTTCCTTCCTCTACGTTTCTTTTCAAAGTCTTCTTTATTTTGGGGGGGCTTAGGAGCTGTAGCCCCTAGTTCTGCTTCAAAATCTAAGGATTCAGCCGATGAAGAGTTGGTAGAACTTTCCTCAGTTTTGTCTTCTTCTTGTTCTGCATCCTTGCCGTCCTCCAGTTTCTCAGATTCATCTTTATCTTGGTGGTGTTCAAGAATTTTTTTCACTTTGATGCAAAGCACCTTTGAACGACCTTTGTCTTGAAAACGGGGTCTTGACAGAGTAATTTGGATTCCATCGAAGAAGAGAAGAAGAAGAGATTGGATTTACACCCTGCCCTTCACTCGGCGTCTCAGAGCGGCTTACAAACTCCTTTCCTTTCCCCTCCCCACAACAGACACCCTGTGAGGTGGGTGGGGCTGAGAGAGCTCTTGACACAAACTGCTCTTTCAAGAACAGCTCTGACAGAACTATGGCTTGCCCGAGGTCATCCAGCAGCTGCAAGTGGAGGAGTGGGGAATCAAACCCGCTTCTCCCAGATTAGAGTCCGCACACTTAACCACTACACCAAACTAGCTCTCTATCGAAGAGGTCCAAATAAGCAAAACTGTGTTCAGTAGAAGCAAAGTGCTTATTCATTTTACCAAGGTCAAGGAAAGTATCTACCCTTACAGCCCTGACAACTTTGCAGACAGAAGCATAAACAATATGTAGGCGGATTAACATCAGGATCTTGAGAGCCAGTTTGGTGTAGGAGCGCGGACTCTAATCTGGGAGAACCTGGTTTGATTCCCCACTCCTCCTCCACATGCAGCTGCTGGTGTGACCTTGGGTCAGTCACAAGTTCTTTAAGAGCTGTTCTCTCAAGAGCATTCCTCAAAGGAGTTCTCTTAGCCCCACCTATGTCACAGGGTGTCTATTGTGGGGAGGGGAAGGGAAAGGAGATTGTAAGCTGCTCTGAGACTCCTTCGGATAATGAAGAGTGGGGTATAAATCCAATCTCTCCTCCTCCTCCTCCTTTTTTTCTTCTGTAACACCAATTGCACAATGACAACTCAGCTCTGTACCAGTTCTAAACCCATAGAAAAGCAATCAATACTTCCTCCTTAACATGTAACTTTAAGGATACCATTACCTTATCTATGGTATGCTGCAAGCACAACGCAACCTGCTGACTACTATAGTTTAAGAAAGCAGGATCTGAGAAAAAAAGTTACTTTAGGTTAGTTTGCCCTGTGAGGCGAGGAACAGAGACTTTTGGAGACTTCCAACTGAAAACGCAGAGAACAGTGCTGGCCTATCACCAATGGTCCCTCTAAGCTGTGGAGTCTTGTGAGCAAAAATGCTAGTTTGTGAGCTACCGGCATTAAAGTTGTGAGCAAGTGATTTGGCTGCTGCATAAATTTGTTTGCTCTGGAGCCCTCCTTCCTGAGCTAAGGCAAAAATGTGTGAGCTGGAGGCTAAAAAACTATGAGATAGCTCATACTAACTTAGCTTAGAGGGAACACTGCCTATCACTGGGTCAAACGTTCCCCTCAATTCTTTACTTTGCCTTCCCTGACATAGCTACACTATGGTTCATTCACATTTCACGTTTTTCCCCTTCAGTCACGATAAGTCAGCTGCAACTTGAGTTCGTTCGTTCATTCATTCATTCATTCATTCATTCATTCATTCATTCATTCATTCCATTTATACCCTGCCCTCCCCGCCGAGGCAGGATCAGGACGACTTAACATAAAAATGCATATATAAATAATCATTCATAAAAACAGCCGTAAACAAATCAGTTGTCAGTTATCCTAACTGGAACAGTACTCGGATGAAGCGCGAGAGCAGGGGTTTCTAGATTAAACAGTACTCCTTGGGTGACAACCATGATGGTATTCTCACATCAGCTCAGTTTGGTCGACTAATTTGTGCGGTGAGAACAGGCTGAAGGCGGTAAAGCCAGGGCACAGGGTCACTCCTTGGTGTCTGAAGCGGCTCCTAATCGAACGTCTGGTGGAAGAGCTCCGTCTCGCAGGCCCTGCAGAACTGTATAAGAGGTCCTGCAGGGCCCTGATCTCTTCCGGGAGCTCATTCCGGCAGTATGGAGCCACTACCGAGAAGGCCCTGGCCCTGGTTATCGCCGGCCTGGCATCTTTGGGGCCTGGGAGTGCTCTCTGGGCAGTTTCCATCACCGGTATGCACTGAACTGGATATCCCAGGCTAGCCTGATCTCGTCAGATCTCAGATCCTGCTTATTATTTGGATGGGAGACCACCAGGAATGTCCAGGGTCACTACATGGAGGCAGACGATGGCAAACCACCTCTGTTCTTCTCTTGCCTTAGAAACCCTACGGGGTCACCATCGATGTTCCCTCTAAGCTGTGGAATCTTGTAAGCAAAAAATCTAATTCGTGAGCTACTGACATTAAAATTGTGAGCGAACTATTTGGCTACTGCATAAATTACATTTCTCTGGAGCCATCCCTTCCTGAGCGAAGACAAAAATCTGTGAGCTGAAGGCTAAAAAACTGTGAGCTAGCTCACACTAACTCAGCTTAGAGGGAACACTGGTCACCATAAGTCATCTGCCCTATTTGGCACTTTCCGCTATCATAACTTTAAGGGCTTTGGGCAACATCTTCCGTCCTCATTGTTCACGCATTCGCCTGCAAGATGTCTGAAGCAGAGAGAAAACCACGCGATGTTCCTGGATGGGGGAACGATCCCATCTCCCGTTGAGAGCCGGTTTGGTGAAGTGGTTAAGAGCAGCGGACTCCAATCTGGGAGAGCTGGGTTTGATTCCCTGCTCCTCCACATGCAGCTGGCTGGGTGACCTTGCGTCAGTCACAGTTCTCTCAGAGCTCTCTCAGCCCCACTTACCTCACAGGGTGTCTTTTGTGGAGAGAGGAAGGGAAGGCGATTGTAAACTGCTCTGAGACTCTGAGTGAAGGGCGGGTATAAATCCAACTCTTCTTCTTCATCTTCTTTGTTGTCTTCATCTTCTTCATCTTCTACTTTGTTTTTGTCATATTCGTTGTCTTTGTCTTCATCTTTGTCTTTGTCGTCTTCTTCGTCGTTGCCATTGTCACCCTAACGCTTTGACCCAGAGCAGTACATCTGATTTCTTCATGTCCTTTGATTTCCCACAGGTTCATCATTCTCCCAAACGGGATACTCCAGATCATAGATGTGCAGGAGAGTGACACGGGGGCCTACCGGTGCGTGGCGAGCAACTGGGCAGGAAGACGCCATAGCCTTGATGCCGTTCTGAGCATCGTGAAAGGTCAGGCATTTGAATGAGAGGTTGTACTGATGGCTGTCATTTTCGAAACACAAAATATCCAGAGGATATAGAAAACTTAAGTTCTGTAGCCCGGAATTTCATAATGACACCTGCTGATAAAAGGGAGGGGGGAGAGAGAGAGAGAGAGAGAGACAGGGAGATGGAGATGGAACTGAACATTCTCTACGTGTCAGATCTATGCTGTGTCATAGTGGTTAAGAAGGGACACTGGGAAATAGTTAAAATATACTGTGAGCTAGCTAGCTGGCTGTTGGAAAGCTGCTTTCTTTCAGCCATCCTCTCTCCATCCTGCCAACTCCAATATAAAGCTATAGTAATGCTGATTTACTTTAAGAACAGTAGAATAGCCCTGCTGGATCAGACTAGTGGTCCATCTCATCCAGCGTCCTGCCTCACACAGCAGCCAACCAGTTCCTCTGGAGGGCCAGCAACAGGGCATGGAGGCCGAGGCCTTCCCCTGATGTTGTCCCCTCGCACTGGGATTCAGAGGTTGACTGCCTCTGAGTGTGGAGGTTCCCTTTAGTCACCACTGATAGACCTCTCTCCTCCATGAATCTGTCTAATCCCTTTTTGGAGCCATCTATGCCTGTGGCCGTCACTACATCCTCTGACAGCGAATTTCACATTTTAATCATTCGCTGTGTAAAGGAGTGTTTCCTCCTTCTTTGCCACGCTTCCCCATCAACGTGTGATTGGCAGCTGACGGCCTGAGCACGGAGCCTTGGAGTACTGTCTGATCAACCTACCGCACTACATTTTGCTCCGGAGCAAAAAGCCTCACTTCCTCCCCAGATTATCTCGCTCGTGTGACCGGGGCCTTTTTTTATTTCACAGTGTCTGATCACTGACACCTCTTGCTCTGAATTATTGCATCAAAGGGCCTGTGCTGTTGCAATCATGAGTATGCTGTTCAGGCGTGTATCTGTAAGCTGCAAACCTACGATGACGCAGCAACAGCAGCAGAACTGGAAGAAGAAGTGGAAGACAGCCAGTTCCGCTGCGGGCCTGATAGAAGCCCTCCGGGGGCCTGATCCGCCCCCCGGGCCGCATGTTTGACACCCCTGCTCTAAAGGGCAACAAATGGTGTCTGTTGGGGAAACCCTTTCTGTTTTTGACATTAAACAAAGCAATTTCTTCTCCCTTGCCTCCTGCCAGTTGAAACTAGGCAGTGATACATGTGGATTTACAGGGCTGGTTAGGAAGGTATCCCAGGAAAGCCGAAGTCCAAAATCATGGGCGGGGGAGGATAGCCAGCGATGCTCCTACTTGCCAAACCAGCAGTGTGTCAGATGGAGTCATGGCTCAGACCTTTCTCATATGTGCCTCTTTGAGATGCTGTGCAAGCCTGCTTCCTTGCTTATTTATTTGCTTCCTGAGGGAGAGTCCGGGAGAACTCAAAAGCCCTCATGCAGTTGGATGTCAATTTGGTTGGTCCTAATAAAAGATATTGGGAGGCGGCAAAGACGAGGGCTGGAAAAACGGATTGGAACACTTTCCCTATGAAGAAAGGTTAAATCTCTTGGGGCTCTTTAGCTTGGAGAAATGACGGCTGAGGGGTGACATGATCCAGGTTTACAAGATCATGCATGGGATAGAGCAGGTAGAGAAAGAGGTCCTTTTCTCCCTTTCTCACAATCCAAGAACTCGTGGGCACTCCATGAAATTGCTGAGCGGTCGGGTTAGAACGGATAAGAGGAAGTCCTTCTTCACCCAAAGAGTGATGAACACGTGGAATTCACTGCCACAGGAGGTGGTGGCGGATACAAGCACGGACGGCTTTAGGAGGGAATTGGATAAACATCTGGAGCAGAGGTCCATCAGTGGCTATTAGCCACGAGGTATAGATAGGGCTAGGTCTGGGGCAAGTGATGCTCTGTATTCTTGGTGCTTGGGAGTGGGGGCAACAGTGTGAGGGTTCCTAGTGTCCTGGCCCCACTGCTGGACCTCCTGGTATGTCTGGCCACTGTGTGACAGAGTGTTGGACTGGATGAGCCATTGGCATGATCCAACATTGGCTTCTCTTATGTTCTTGTGTTCTTATGATGTAGCCCAATCTTGGAAGCTAAGCAGTGTTGGTATTTTCATTTATACTTTTCCTTTCTCCCCAGTGTGGACCCAAAGCCGCCTACCTCATTCTCTACCCCTCCATTTTATCCTCACAACAGCCCTTTGAGGTAGGGTAGGTTAGCCGAAGACTGGCCCAAGACTGGTGACTGACCCAAGGTCACCCAGCCAGCTTCCATGGCAGAACAACGATTTGAACCTGGGTCTCCCAGATCCTAGCAAAACATTCTAACCATTGTGCCAAATTGGCCACAGAGCCTTTGTACATGAACACACTGGCAAATGAACTCTGTTTCTCACTTGCCTTGGAAGCCCCTTCCTGGGGTCACCAATAGTCGGAAGCTAATTATGGTGCTGGAGAAGACTCTTGAGAGTCCGTTGGACTGCAAGGAGATCAGATCAGTCAATCCTAAAAGAAATCAACCCTGACTGTTCCCTGGAAGGCCAGATAATGAAGCTGAAGCTCAAATACTTTGGCCACCCAATGAGAAGGGAGCACTCACTGGAGGAGAAGACCCTGATGCTGGGAAAGACTGAAGGTCAAAGAAGACGGGGACGGCAAAGGATGAGATGGTTAGACAGTGTCATCGATGCAACGAACATGAAGTTGAGCCAACTTCAGAGGACGGCGGAAGACAGGAAGGCCTAGCGTGATCTTGTCCATGGGGTCGCGAAGAGTCGGACTCGACTGTGCGACTGAACAACAACAACAACAAAAAATCAGGGATGGGAGATCACGAAGGAAGGCTCTGCAGAGGAAGGCAAGGGCAGACCACCTCTGCTTCTCGCTTGCCTTGGAAGCTCCTTGCTGGGGTTGCCAGAAGTCAGTTGCAACTTGGAAGCACCTTCATACATAATAAAAGATATTATATGGATTATGGGGGGGGGGGGTGGATTTTGATTTTGGACCAGTATTACTGTCAAAAATTTTGCCTGCTTGGAAGTCTGCCTTTCTTTAAGAAAAGAAGAAATGGGCTTCTGTTTCCAGGGATGGGCTTGGTGCCTCTCTTCAGTCAGAAGCTATTTTGAGTCCCCGAGAGTCTCCCTCGAAGGTCGTCGAGAGGCTTTTGCTTTTGTGTTGGTAACAGTGGTGCCCGGCAACTGCAGCCAGGGGTGTTGGCGTGTCAGCAACAGATGTTTTGGGCCAGGCAGACTTCACGGTGTAAATTTCCAGACGTTCCTCGGAGAGATGCATTCCACATGGGAACGAGGATACGGGAGCTTTTGTAAGCAAATCCTTTTTTTAAAAAAAATTGCAGCCCTGAAATGAAGCCGCTGTAGTCGCACAGAGGAAATATCTGCGTGAAGAGCAGCTCCGATCCCTGAAGTTCTCCTTCCAGACCTCAGACGGGGTGATCTGTTAGAACTTTTTTGCCTCCTGCAAAATATGAGCCCTAGTGAGTAGTTAAGGGGGTTAGTGTTCAGTCCTAAGCCTCGGACACCCATAAGATTGTCAGGCTGTGCGCTGTGACATCACTTCTGGGAAAATCTGGAAGTGATGTCAGAAGAAGAAGAAGAAGAAGAAGAAGAGATTGGATTTATACCCCGCCCTGCACTTGGAGTCTCAGAGCAACTTACAATCTCCTTCTCTTCTCCTCCCCACAACAGACACCCTGTGAGGTAGGTGGGGCCGAGAGAGCTCTTTCAAGGACTGCTTGAGAGAGAACAGCTCTGAGACAACTTGTGACTGACCCAAGGTTACACCAGCAGCTGCACATGGAGGAGTGGGGAATCAAACCCCGTTCTCCCAGATTAGAGTCCGCCGCTCTTAACCACTACACCAAACTGGCTCCGGACGTTGCTTGAGGAATTGCCGGAAACTATATGGTAAAGCCAGAAGTGATGATCACCCGGTCCATTTCAACAACCAGGGCTCTGTGTATGCCATGCTTCTTCCAAAGTGC